CTATGAGTTTGACTGTCCCCATGGTATCTTTCGTTCCTCTCTTACATATTTAATATTATAGATAATGCATATCAAATAAAAGACTGACCATAGGCATGTTCATGTCATTTGTATAAATAAGCATTGGACAGATTTACAACTATAAACCATTTATTTGGATGTTATGATTCCAATTGAAATGGAAAGGTATCTCTTACTAGCACAAGCTAATAGTTTTCACACTCACCTATATACGATCTACGTATGATTCAAGCGCAATTTTCTATGATGTAAAAGTTATTTTCAATCAACATGATTAATGACGATGTGTTTTATATATTTGTACATGTTATCTTCGATATTGGTCCCGGTATCAGCCCTTAGACTCCCATATCGACCCAGACGGTGTAGCAAAAAGGTTGATATTGGTCGGATGGAAAAGGCCATGTTATGATATATTTATCGTATATTGTATAATTGTTTTTGATTGACAGTTTTAGCAAAAGTTAAATTCGGGGCTCAATATGGGTATTTTAGGGCAAATATCGACATTGTCACGGATAATTGAATTGACTTTGTTTTGATTTTAACCAGTGTGAAGCATTGCATTTAATACCAGTAATTGTCAGTAGCTTCTATAAATGTTTGAATGTCGATTCAAACTGAACTGTCTAGGTCTTTCTTTTATTTGAAAAAAACATAGGAGAAAACACCTATTCCGGAAATTTGTTTCCATGAACAATATCTTGTTAGTGATGCAAGTATAGAAGGAAACGCGTACCGTGTTGAAGCACAAATTCTCTGTCCGTTTGTAGATCAAGCAATATTATGAGTCCGGGTGTTACTTCGATTTGTCATTTTACTTGATTTAAACGAATTGAACATCGCTAAATTGTCTTAGCTCATTGATATAATTTTGTTTAACTGCATGTATTTTGCTAAAGCAGGTTTGTTTTATCTTTTTAGACATCTACATAGCAACAAGATGCAGTCATTAAAAAGTAATATGTTTATCAATATGGCAAACTTGTATCAACTGTAAGTCGTGATATATTTTGTATGTTTTTTTCTTTTTAAACTCGCATTTTCCTTTCACGCACAGTATTTATAAAATGTTAAAATTATTTCGAACATTAGGCTTGATGTTAAAGTCAATAGCAGAGTTTTGAGTAATGCAAATGTATCTAACAACAACAAGTATGGACCCAGGGCGTTTCACAATTTGACATATTACGGGGATACCTGCCTGTAGTCGAGGACTGTATATGAACCTCTAGATGTCTTGTGCTTATCATTTTCGTTTGTTTGCAATATTGTAGGTATTTTCCTCACGATTCATTTCCATTGTATGTATAAGTATCGAACTGTTATCAAACAGAAAAATATAAAGCTATATATGCCCTAGAGATAACTTTCATAACTTGTGTCGTATGATTGACGTCTACCACACATATCTTTTTATTCATAGTAATCTTAAACATTTTAAAATTGATTCGTTGGTAACATAACATTCATCAAACATTGTAATTCTCAAATTTGCTCTTCCTTCATTCAAAGGACTGACATGTTGCACCTATTTACTCTTCTCTTTCTAGACTTTTAATATTTTGCCAAAAAAGGGATTTTTTCTTACTAGATAATTTTACGGAGAAATTATGTAATATATGGTTTTTGTGGGGTTCATGTTGCACAGTCTGTATACTTTTGTTCTGTGTTTTGACCGTTTATCGCTTTTTACCATGGCATTGTCAGTTTTCGATTCATTCATTTAAATATCCCTTTTGGTAATTTTCGGCCTATCTTTTAGATCTGAGTTAACAGATGAATATCAAAAAGAACAGCGATTCTTAAAATTTCAACGCAACTGCTCTTTACTAAACATGGGCACAAGAGGGTAATAATTTAGAAAAAATAAGAACGCATGGATCTCTTTAAAATTGGAAGGTATATCATTTCGTAGATATGTCTATACACTTTAAAATTAATATCTGATGACCTAAGAAAGATCATTCAAACAGACGGTTTATCGTTTCATTATTGATATTATTATTATTATTACTTTGAATAAAGTTGCTTTTGTCTGATTATTACAATTATCATTATTATTACTTCGTGATAAAACAAAACCACACACACATTCTAATGCAATTCGTTTTCAACGATAATTTTCATTGGACGTTAACAAATATTTTGAAGGGTTAGATTCCACGTTCTACCAGTCCGTAACTAAGAAAGCTACCATTTTGAATTCTGATTGTTTGAGGTATATAATTTCTCAAAAACAAAAAAACAAACAAGAAAGTCACATTTTGAGCCTCAAAATCTTCTTTTTGTCAATATTGAAACCATTCTGAAGCGTACGAAAAGTATAAATACGTCTAGTGTTTATGATTGACATCCATAGTATACTCTTTGGTCGGGTTGTTGTCTCTTTGACACATTCCCCATTTCCATTCTCTTTTTTATATGACGTCACATTGTTTAGATGCTAAAGACGATGCGGATTTTTTTCATTTATTGCATTTTTTAGCCAAATAATTCATTAAATGGAATCTATTTTAATATGTGGCATTAGAATGGAGATAAATGTATTGTATTTTAAGTTTGGCCTTCGTAAAACTTGATTTTACTGTCGCAAATGTCCGTTTACCTAGCTCCGCTCCGCGTCGCTAGGTAAACTCAATTTGCGACAGTAAAATCTACGTTTTACGAAGGCCAAGCTTAAAATACAATACAGTTATCTCCAAATTTATCTTGTTTTGCTAATACTCAGCCGTATCAAAACTATACTAAAGACATAACTGTAAATTAGTAATTTGAAAATGTTTTTGGTTGACATTAACAGTTTAAAACCACTGGTAGAAACTGTGTTACAAATAGCAATTAGTAAAGAGCACAATATTATGTATAATGAATGTGATACAATTTCGTTTTTGAATCTACAATATGAATGTATACTATCATACCAACTTTTTATCACCATAGATTTGACAAAAATGAAGATCATAAACGGTATCTTCTGAAAAATGAAATACAATAACAGAGGTAATGATTTTAGTACTTTGTCTAGTATTTTAATAGCTTTACCGTTCAAACACGTATAACTCTTTATTTGATAACAGAGAGCCACCTTTAGTTTCTTATGCGCGTAAAAACAACAGTAGATGCTTAATGTTTAACAATATGTCAGTTACATTCAACGTCGGTGTAGAAAACAATGATCCTTCAACATATGATATGATCCCTAAGATCATACTTTTACAAGGAACCTCAAAATCGTTCAAGACCGAGACTCTGAAAAAAGAACCAAAGTATCGTCCGCCGTCGAAAATAAATTGAAAAGAGTGTCGTCGGGTCATAAAAGATGCTCTTTCATTATATTGTAAACATTGGTGTAATCGGGATGAATCTGAGAGAAAAAAGTCACTTGATTCCTATTGAAATGCATGTCTGAATATTGTTTATATTCGCATATCACGTTTCGAAAATAATTAAGAAATTATTAAAAGGGTAAGTAATATGCTCATTTCTAGGATTAAATACAACATGCAGGTAATTGAGAAGCGTTTTGTGTTCGTATCGGCCTTCAAGATAGACTACAATGTGGTGGAGGTATAACGTGAAAAGTACACAGAAGTTAGTGAAAATGATATTATGTATTCATATGATCAAGACGTAATCTGTTAATCAGTGTAATTGAGGTCTTGAGCTGGCATGTCAGTAACTGCTAGTAGTCCGTGTTAATTTACGTTCCCCATTTCGCTTGGTATATCTGTTCTATTACCTATTCTAACAACGGACTTTGACTTTTTTAAACTGAGTTTTACTGTGCGTAGTCAAGGAACCTCTGGCCTTTGTTAGTATTGTATGTTTTTCTTGTTTTGTTTTTTTATATGTTTCGGAGTTAAGCATGTTAACTGTGATGTCCTTTTTTGCTGAACTAATATAAATTATTGTTTAGGGTCAGCTGAAACCCGCCTCCGGGTGAGAGATTTTTCGTTGTGTTGAAGACTCATTGATAGCCTTGGGCTGTTTTCTGCTCTTTGATCGGGTTGTTGTCTCTTTTCGATTCTCAATTTTATATACATTCAACATGTTTAAGGTCATGCGTTTCACAGAGTATCAAATAAGAAATAATCATGATACTAACACAGCCAAGCTTAATGTCTCGCTCAAAATTTGAAAGTCCCTACTATGTATTGGCTTCCTACACTATATGTACACAAAACTTTTTCAAATTTCGTTTCATCTCAGCTTCTAAAAGTGTTTTACGACTAAGCTTTCTGTGATGTTAACTAGCTCCCTTACTCCTTTTACAAAAATCTTTGGATGTTTTGGATAAATTACATGTTTCTGATGGTCCGATCAAATCAGTTGACAGTTATATTTTTTTCGACTCTACAAAACGCACTTCCACACAACATTAACTCATATTTAATAAAATGATCCTTTGACAAATATGGGTGCAGATTTATTTGCTAACACTCATTTAAAGCCTTCTTCTGTAATGAAAAAAGAAACTATGCCAAATATATTTGCAGGATACCATGTTGACATGATTAGAGCTGTAAATTTACCCCTTGACAAAATCAATAAACGTTTCGGCAATCACCTTTTTTCAATTGCGCCCCTTAAATAACATATGTGTTCCTGTATAGCTATGAATCACAGAGAATAGCAAAAGTCAGTAGAAGTCATATCTAATTGATAAATTTAAAAACTGCGGTAATTTACGCTAAGGAACTTTCTTTTAATAAATCTAAAACAGAACGAAACAATAGTCCTTTTCGATGTGCTTTGTTATAAATTATATCATTTATTTTCATGTTTTGAATTGCTTTCCATTTTTCATGTCAGAGCCTTTTATAGCCGACTATATATGTTTTTCTCAATGTTGAAGGTTGTACAGTGACCTATATTTGCTTACATCCACTTCATTTGAACTCTGGTGGGTAGTTGTCTCATTGGCAATCATACCAGATCTTCTTCATTTTAAACAGTAAGAAATAGAAAACTGTCAAAGAGCTACAGTACTAAAACCTTTGTCCGTTATACATTTACCTATACCATGTATACCAAAGAAAAGATATCCAATCTTCTGTGGGGTTGTCCATCTGTCATGATCGAATTCATTAGGATGGTCCCATAGTTTAGGGTCGATCTGTGGATCATTTAAATCAAACAGTATGATGGACTTAGCTGGAATAGTATATTGTTCTACTTTTATTTCACGCGGGCTGGTTCTGTATATGGCAAGTACAACTAAAAAGAAGGAAAACAAAACATCAGGAAGAGAGAAGTATTCAACCAGCTAGCATGTGATATTATAATAGCATACGATACAGTAGCAGTGACAAATAAATATGCATCCACATAGGACGCGGCGTTTTCGCAAGACATTGTATATTTAAGCACATTGAATCAACTGCGGGGCATACATTGAATGCGTCTTTTTAACAACGCTGCCAGTGATAACTTTAATTAAAATATCAGATAAGCATCCACAATTGGCGGAAAAAATCGCTTATGTCATCATATTAGTTACGTAATTTTGAAAGAAATTGCAAACGAACATATCGAAAATGTAAGGTTTGGTGTACAGCGGTAATAACTCCATGACAATGTTGCACGATACACATTATAATTTAGCGCCAAAAGAAGGAAATGGAATCTCAGTGTTAGAACAACTAGGTTGTCTCTTTCCATAAAAAAAATGAGCACAAGGAACCTTTTTTTTCTTTCGCAATGGACTATTTTATTTAGGGTTTATCAAAATTGTAAGAAAAAATCAACGGTATAATTTGTTTTAAAATATTTCCATTGACAAGAAAATGTCTACGGCTTTTTATTTTCAATAAATGTACGATTTAACTAATTGTTTACCAAAATCGGGATTCATGTAATTAATTTTCGAAGTCCTATAAATTAAAGAACTCTTTGCAAAATAATTGTTGAAAATATATCTTTCCGTCTCTACAAGTTCAAAGTTGTGTTACTTTATTTATTTATTAATTTTTTTTTTTTTTAAAGAATTGAAAAATACAATTTTTCGTTTATACATGAAATATACACTTTCAAATTGCAATATCTCAAAAAGATAGTAAGACAGGTATATTTTCTTTCCATATTTCGATAGTGCATATCAAAATGATAAGGAAAAATCAGCGAGAGATCTTTTCTGTGTGGTATGCCCTTAACGTTTCAGTTTTAAAACCATTTGAAGAGGAAACCTGTACACAAATGTATGTGGTTGGTAATGAATATCTAGCCCTTGAAATCCTGTCAAAAGGGATTCGATTTTGGTCGATGAATGCATTTTTAAAAAAAGTTCAAACTTATTCAACCTCAAAGTTGAAGGCCGTACGGTGTAGTTGTTAATTTGTGTGTCATTTGTTCTCTTGTGGAGAGTTGTCTCATTGGCTATCATACCACATCTTCTTTTTATATTATATATTTATTCAAAGTTCCTATTAGTTTCATTTCAATAATAGACAAACACAGGAAATTAACCGACTGTGACAAAATACAAGAAGTGAAACCAAATGATTTGTTTCTCAAAAATATGTATAGAAATAAACGGAGAATATGTCTATTGGACACAGATGATGCCCCCGCTTGTATATAACGTTATAAAGGGACATAACTTAAGAATGGTACAGTGAAGCAACCCAAATTCGCACTTGATCTGTGTTTTGTGGTAATAAGCATTGTTTATAAGTTTCTTAACTTTCGGTAGAGGCGAATTAAAGTTAAAGAGCGGAAGTACGGACGTACAGACATATGGACGGAAAATGGTAACTCTTAGTGCCCCTAAGACTAGTAAATGCATAAGATTGTGAAATGGGGCGCAACGAAGTGAATTTCCTCTGATCTTCACATTCTGAATAAGAGATACTTTGGCAAACTGCAACATTGTCAGAATCTAACCTGGTTTAGCAATACGTAGTATTTCTTTAATAGTTGATTCCACGGACTTTGTAACGTAGTTTATCTCTGTCTTCGATCGATACTGTATGTTTTCCACCGCATACCTTAAACATACAAAATTAAAACATGAATAATCTGAAAACAAGAAAGTCAGTATTTGCTATGTCTATCAGTATAGTTTAATTTGTATCATAGTGTACCGGTATGAGTGTTGACATACAATTTCCTATTATAACAGTACGATCAAATTGGGATAATAAAACTAATAGGAAAATTAGGGGATATGGAAGGCTTTCTTTTTAATTTGCAATTTCCTAAAAAGTTCATATGACAAATATGGAATAAATTATAGGGTGTTTTTATATTATTTTTTCCTTGTCATAAAATTTCAAGGAAAGAATATCATGAATGGAGTTCCATGACAACATTAGTTATTTTTAAAAACCTGTATGTTAAAGTTTTATGAAAATTTGTAAATGATATCGTCATAAGTTTAGACAAACGAACAGTCGGTCAGATGTATAGGCAGACCAGAAACCAAATTAACAGATAGGACAAGAGCCTACCATAAAATGGATGTATGAACAAAAACAAATCGAAACTGACATCACAGAAACAAGCCGAATCTGACGGGTTACAATTTCCGGAAGGGGTGATAAACTAATTGCAATACAGTACCCAAAATAAGCACTTGTAATTAACAGACAATCATCATTTCTGTCAGTTTACCCTATGTATTTCCTTCCTGCATTTTTTCTGGACATCCGGGTATTTCGGCAGATAAAACACCAATGTCATCATTGTGCCTGTGTACGTCTCGTATGCCGCTATATACATATCAATGTTAGCTTGGAAACGTTAGTTTCTTGAAAAAAAAAAAGCATTTCGAAAAATGTTTGACAAAATATCCATTTCAGACCCATTACCATAAGATGGACAAAACTACAGTTGGTTATAAACAAGGTATTAAATAAAACTGGAAATCAACATCAAGTTAAGAAAACCTACATTTCTTCTTATCGCTTTATTTCATGATGTTAATTAGATTGGTTTTTTTTAATTTGATGTTACTATCATTTTTTTCTTCTTAGTTGATTTTTTCATATTTAACCTATTTATTATGCTTGAACGACATATTGTGCATTATAACTTACCTTAAGAAATAAATTGCAAACACTTGATAGTATGACTAAACTTTTCCTTGTTTTTTAAACATGAAAACTTTGGAAATAAGCATATTCCATGCATGCATGGACGAAGGCAACTAATGTTAACTTAGTCCATACTTGCATGGACTAAGTTATATAGATACAATGGATAAGCGTGGATTCATGAAAAAGAAACCATGAGCCCGGAGGGCGAATGGTTTGTTTTTCATGAATCTACGCTTATCCATTGTATCTATAACTTAAACTATTGTGTTAATTTCTTTTCAAAATTAAAGCCTTTTCTTAATTAGAAGGTATTGTAAGTGAGTTTACATAACCATGTTATCGTGTCCAACGATGCCTTGATAAATCTCAGATCACAATTAATTGGTTAACAAAATACAAATATAACACTTCTACCTTTGAAGATCTTTATATTACCAGGCATATGAATATTATCTGTTTATACAAAATAAAGACATATTCGAAATTATTTCTAATAAAATTGAAAATGAAAATGGGGAACGTGTCAAAGAGACAACCACCCGACCAAAAAGCATATATAATGAATATATAATAAGTATGTTATCGAAATTTTTCTAGCACTCTAGGCACATCACGCTTTTCTCGCATAGGAATTTGCGAACAAACCTTTGTAAAATTATGTAGTAAAACAGATGAAATCATACTATATTTATAAAACAAAACTTGACAAATAGAATGTAATCATTTTTGTTTCAAACATGTGAAATAGCCAATAATAATTAAAAAAAAACAGTAAAACTCGCTGTTATTACAAAAATATCCACTATAACATGCAAAATTAGAAAAAAAAACTAGGATAACTTAAGAATTGGAACAACAGAGAAAATACAGGGATTCGAACCTAAACCGACAAATCCCTATCTTTAACTCATTGATTTTAACCATGCTAACCTCGCGGCTACCAACTCATACTGTACGACTGCCTATTGTGTCTATATAAAGGTACAAGCCCTGTGTGTCCGATGAACCGATGTATATCAGATGTTCATTTAAATATATAAAATAGACATCTATAGTGTAACCCATTGGTAGCCGAGAGGTTTCGTCGATGTGTTAATGTCAATCACACATAACAGATTTCAAGGAAGGGTTCGATCCCAGTGAAGGCATATAAAAATTACAAAAAATAAAGGTAAGTTTTTAAATTAATTCCATTAGTGAACAGAAATCCGTAAATTAGCCAATTCAAACTTAATGAAATTAGGCACACAAAGGAAACAATTGAATATAATTTGGTGAGTCAATTTCAGTGGCAGATTGAGGAAGCGTTGATTCTAGAAAAAGAATCCACGGTAAATGAATAGGCTGACGTCACCACAATGGTTTAAGTCTGCTTGAATAAATGAATAATTTCAAATTTCTATAAAAAGTTAGTTTAACTCATGCAAGCATGGACTAAGTCTATTGTGTTAGTCCATGCATGCATGGACTACATTAACAGTAGTTGCCTTCGTCCATGCATGCATGGGCTAAGTCTATTGTGTTAGTCCATGCATGCATGGACTACATTAACATTAGTTGCCTTCGTCCATGCATGCATGGAATAAGCTTAGTTCCAAAGTTTTCATGTTTACATAACATGAAAAGGTTTAGTCATACTATCAATTGTTTAAAGTTTATTTCTTAAGGTAAGTTATAATGCACAATATGTCTTTAAATCATAATAAATAGGTTGAATTTGAAAAAAATCAACCTAATGGAAAAAAAAAATATTTACATCAAATTCAAAATTAATCTAACTAACATCATGAAATAAAGCGGTAAGAAGTAATGTAGGTTTTCTAAACTTGATGTTGATTTCCAGTTTTATTCAATACCTTGTGTATATTAAAAAAAAATGCGTCAAAATAATTCTTTCTCCTTTATGTCAAACAATCCATCCTAAGGTAATAAAAGATAATTCATCCCGCCAGTACAATGGTACAAGCTTTAATTATATAAAAAGTAATATTCAAATTGGCAATTTTTATTTTTATCGTTATACATGTAATTCACCGTAGACTACAAGAGTTTTCAATTTGTATAAAAATGTCCCACATTATGTACCAAAACAAACGAATTCTAATTGCTGTAACATAATATTGTTACGAAAGCTAAAATACTGACACTAAATATTGTTGCGACAACAAATTTTGCAATTTCAAAATTTAATTTCTTCACTTTTATTTCTAACAATCCATTCTGAGGTAGAAAATGTACTCAATTACTAGGCCAGTACAACAATAATAAAAAAAAAACAAATATTGTCACTTTTTATTTTTATCGCTCAAAAAGAATATCAAATTGGACGAATAGACTTAATATTAAATGCTCTCAAAGTAGCTGTTGTAGTTTTATTTTAAGATTCTAAACATTTGAATAATAGGCAATACTTGATATTATTATTATTTTTCTGGTTCACAGTTTGTGTGAAAATCTCCAAGTTATTTTGTTGTTCAAAATTTTATTTATATTTTCACTAACATTTATTTCGGATTTAAACTGGAAATGTTTTATTTACATGCTTCACATGTTTTAACAATAATTGTCCATTGTTAATCTTAAGAGTTGATTTTATATGTTGCATGAGTTTTGTATATGTTATCACTTTTATTTTTAAAATAATCTTTATCATTTTGCAATTTGGACATCATCATCCTTTATTTCAAATCACAAATCTAATTTCCAAAATGAAAGTCATTGTTGTTGTTGTTCTACCAGCCTGTCAGGTTGATGAGTTGGTTCAGTCAAATGAACTAACTGGTCGACAGTATCTATAATTTTACTTTATTTTCTTTATCAGAACGTTTGATGTCACTTGAACGGATAGTTCTTGGAAAACGTAAACGTGTTTTTACGTTAATTTAAGCGCACGTGTTCTCGAGAAAAAAAAAAGAGACGGAAATTACCTAAAGGGACATTCAAACCCGTTCACCAAAGAGAAACTGTAAACGCTGAAGCAAAAACATGAAACACAACGAAAGGACAAACACCAGTGTACGCAACACTACAACGAATATTGAAAACTGAGCAACAAGAGCTCCATCAAATTAGTGTTTTGGTAGTTTAATCAGATCCTGTTCCACAAACGGTATTCGTGGTATTTATCTTTGGAAGAACAATGTCGGTAATGTCAGCGATCGCTGATAATCTTTGTCATAACTTGTACATCTGATGTCAGTTGTGAAGATTGGTCATTTTACATCAAAAGAACATCGCAATGCATTCTTATCAATTGAATTTGTGTACATACCAGACCGGGGGTCAATTATATGCCAATTACATTGATTTTTAAATGTAATTAATTACATCACAATTACATTGATTTTCAAATGTAGTTTATTACAATTACATTGCCAATGTAATTAATTACATTTCAATTACTTTTGTCCAAAGAAATGTAAGAGCTACATCATTAAGAAGAAAATCATAAAAATGGCAACAGGCTAGAATAGAATTAAACTTTTATATATACATACACTTTTTAACAGTAAAAACATTAAGAAAAAGATTCAAATTTCGAACGTCATTGTTACATTTCATCACCATTAGACTTTCACTGTGATTATATGATTGCATTTCTTATTTTTATTGGAACAAATTTATATAATATATATATATATATATATAAAGATGAATATATTTTAAATTCTTAAAAAAAAAATTCTTAAAAATTTCAAGTTTCTGCTTAAAATGTTTATTTAGATGTTCAACTTAATGGTTTTCTTATGTACCACAAATGAAATTTGAAGTAACTTTCAAGCTTCCATTTATTACAGAATAGTAATGGTAGCTTTTTCCAGACTAGTCTTTTGGCAAGTCAAAATTGTCAAGTACAAAACTATGTAAATTAAGCTCCATTCTTATATGTTTTGATTGTTGCATTTACAATTTTGTAGAAAATATTTAAAAATAATATCCATCTAAACATGTTTTAACATATACATATGATGGTTTAAAAGTTTAAAATAACAATGACCTTTGACATTATAATCAAGGGACCTTCTTGTACTTCATAATTAGTTATTAATAAGTGAAAAGAATAACCTGAGGCTAAGATTATTGTTAATTGTTGCAACTATATACTTACAATTTGTATGTAAATGAATTGGTATTGCTTTTTTATTTTAAGATTTTTTATGTAAACATGTGAAAAAGTTAATGAAATAAATACAAATAAAGATAATTATACATGCTACATGTATAATGGTTAATGAAATATAAATGAATATTGTATTTTTTCATCATGATACAAGTTAAAAAAATATTTAAACAAATCAAAGTACCAAGTGTATACTAAACTATAAGTTGCATCAGCAAAGTCAAAAATGTTTAAAATTTCCAAACAAATATTTAAATGTAATTCAAAGTAATTGAAAAGTAATTCATAATTACTTGGAAAAAGGCAATGTAATTCATTACTTTCAATTACATGCAATTGAGAATATGCTCAATTACACATTACATTGAATTACTGTCAAAATTGTAATTAATTACAGCTAATTACAATTACATTTTAATTACCCCAGGTCTGATTTGCAAAGAATCATTTTCTATCGTACCTATGAAACATGTTACATGACCTATCACAGATCAAATTAAGGTCAGTAGTCAGAGCAGGTTTATTATCGCCAGTAATCTCCCCTACCAGTAGTAGACATTTCTACATGATGTCACCACAAAACTGCAAGTTGCTGCACTCATAATTTGTTTTTTTTAAAGATTATAAAAAATTGTAAAATTAATATTTTAAACTTTTGATCTGAAATAAAGCCACACACTTTGATTTCTCTCCAAAAATTGCAGGTATCTGCAAAACAGAGTTACATTACTTCACATAAACTAGGAAACCTATTCATATTCTCTCTCTTAAACTATTGGTATTTTTTTCTGTCTTGTTTGTGTACATGTGTACCTATCAAAACAATACTGTATACCAACTTATTTTCGCGGATACTTTATTTCGCGTCTAGTCCTTTCTAGTCCACTTCGCGGCGATTTAATTTCAAGATTTTCTAATTTACTTGATGTAGTTGAATAGGGAAAGATCCATTTTTTACATATTCACGACGATTAATATTCGCGTTACTTTTCTACTCGCGAAAGTCGTGAAAATAAATCGCTCGCAAAAATAAGTTGCTTTACAGTATTATGAATTATACAGATGTGTGTCCACATAGTTCATGCACTAAACCTAACCGCTTTTTATATTTTTATATTTATTTTCAAGATTTTGCGTTTTTTCATTGACGATTTTGTAAAAAGCAATGTCGTCAAATATGAGCCTGTAATGACTCCCTGGACAACTGGAATACATCTTTGAAGCAATGCAGATTCAAACGTTTAGACGAAAACACAAAACAATAATGAAATATTTAAAAGAGAGACGAGAACATGTGTTTAGAGAAGAGGAATATGTCAAATCGTGACTTCGCCTGGAAAACTTAGTTATCCGACCAGATTTTGGTTATTAAAATGGACTGACTGGTTCCGGAAATTCTCTCTTTAAATTTAACCACTTTGACAATGAGGTTTCCATTTTGGAACAGTTTTTGTTTATATCGCGGGGGAAAGGGAAGATAAGGACTCACTGGGAAATATTTTGCAGTCACCAGCTGGGCGATCAGGATGATAAAATATATTCGCCCAGCCGAACTTTAAGTTTAGTCCCTGTAGTTTCTAAAATTGCCAAAAAAACAGTATCAGTAGAAAAGTTTTCAATCTTGTGATTTTGTCTTTAAGCCAAGACCTTGATGTTACTACATTTATTAGGAAATAGTATAAAGCTAGATAACCAAAATAACTGAGCATGGCAACCATTTTGTATCCTGTTTTTACATTTGTTCATTAGTAACAATAAGCATTAAGGCAATCAAGGCCACAATCTGGAACAACAAAGTAAAAATGTGAATATAAGTCAGTCCTACTATCTGTTAGCAAATAAGGCATCCTTTGAGGGGTTGGTTTTAGAAGTACATCTTTTATATTAACACTTGCAATTGACATAAGAAAACTAGTATAACTTATTCATGTATATTCAGTCCTATTCTACTATTTAGTCAGACGTCAGTCGCTACCCTGATATACCCTTTCTTTTTCGGGTAATTAATACGGATAGCGTTTGACATCTTTAGCCGAACAGATATATCATTTTTACATAATTTAATTCAGTGTATGCTGGTTCATATTCTGGACGCCAGTCTTTGCTCCTTTCTAATATAATTCACAAACAAAAAACAAATATGAAGCTTAGAAATGGAAAATATTAAATACTAAACTCTTTCAAAGGGTGTATCTACACGTCTCAATCTTCAAAATCGCTTATCTAAAAATACTACCGTCGCTAACATTTTTAACAATAAAAATCGTGGTTACCCTTCTATCGATAAGTGTCGTGCCAAAAAATTACTTACATGTCCCCGTCTTTCCACCAACAATACGGTAAGGTCCACGTTTAATGGTGGCACATTTTCTTTAAATTTTGAAACTGATATAATTTGAAAAACAAACAGTATTATTTATTTACTCACATGAAACAAACCGGGATGCGGTATTCAGTACGTAGGTGAAACTGTTCGATTCTCTCGTGTATGTAACAATTTTTTAAATTTTAACAAGAGAAATTTATGTATTACTGAAAAATTATTACACCAGGGTTTTCGATATCACAAACTAGTCAAAACATTTACTAAATTTTATCATCGGTATAATGACATCATTCGTAAATATAGCTCAACATGCAGACTTCTTACACGTTCAGGTATTTCACATCCAATTTTTTATGGAAATATTCTTTATAAAGCACAAAAATGTCAGTATTCACCTCTGAAGCTAACAAAACCTTTAAATAGACTTATTAAGAAGGGATATAGTTACGATACTGTTGTCAGGTCATTAAAGATTGCATATTTTGGCGTTAATATTGATTCACTTATAGGGTCTTTGCATCGGCACTAAACACATTTATTTAAAAACCAGTTGTTGGCATGACACGGGTTATGTTCTTCTCATATATGTTATGATGGTAAGATACTAAACCCCTAACGGGAAGGATTGTGCCTGATATTCATATGATGAAGACATAATCTTTCAATCAGTTTAATTGAAGTCTGGAGCTGGCATGTCAGTTAACTGCTAGTAGTCTGTGGTTATTTATGTATTATTGTCATTTTGTTTATTTTCTTTGGTTACATCTTCTGACATCAGACTCGGACTTCTCTTGAACTGAATTTTAATGTGCGTATTGTTATGCGTTTACTTTTCTACATTGGCTAGAGATATAGGGGGGGGGGGGGGGTTGAGATCTCATAAACATGTTTAACCCCGCCGCATTTTTGCGCCTGTCCCAAGTCAGGAGCCTCTACCCTTTGTTAGTCTTGTATTATTTTTAATTTTAGTTTCTTGTGTACAATTTGGAGTTTAGTATGGCGTTCATTATCACTGAACTAGTTTATATAGTTGTTTAGGGGCCAGCTGAAGGACGCCTCCGGGTGCGGGAATTTCTCGCTGCATTGAGGACCTGTTGGTGACCTTCTGCTGTTGTCTGTTCTATGGTCGGGTTGTTGTCTCTTTGACACATTCCCCATTTCCATTCTCAATTTTACTCAGATGCATCATTTGTTTTCATTTGGTTCTGCTGATTATAGGGTAATGAAGTTCTAATTTAAGAATAGCTTATTCATATTTTGCTGAAATTGTAATGTTGTTACCCAGTTAAACCCTGTAGAAACAACAAAAAAAGGACTGATAGATGTCTTGTACATTTTAAGGATAAAAAGCCAGTAAACCTAAGATATTGGCCATTTAATTAACCCTTGATGACAAGTGATTGGAGACGGGATTTCTTATAAGGGGCTTGCTTTTGCAGGAATTACCGCAGTTCTGTTTAACTTGAAAAAAGAGACTGTGTAACAGATACAACCAGTAGTTTAGCAAAAACGATTATGTAATGGTTTTCAACACAGGAAAACGAAATATAACGTAGCATAATGTCTGTATATTAACTTATAGTCTGACCCTCCACTCAACCTGCAAATGAAATATAACATAGCATGTAAAATGTCTGAATATCAACTTGTGCACATAGGCTGATCTACCAACATGACCAATGAATCTGAAAACCATAAACAAGAATGTTGGCAAACATGTTTAACCCAGTCACATTCTGTATGTGCTGTCCCATGTCAGGAGCCTTTTATGCAGTGGTTGTCATTTGTTGCTGTTTATCATATTTGTTTTTCGTTAATTGTTTTGTACATAAATCAAGCTGTTACTATTCTCTTTTGATTTGTTTTATGTTTGTCATTTCGGGGCCTTTTATAGATTATTATGCAATATGCAATTTTGTTCATTGTTGAAAGCAGTACAATGACCTATAGTTGTTAACTTCTACGTAATTTGGTCTCTGGTGGAGAGCTGTCTCATTAGCAATCATATCACATCTTCTTATTTTTATATTTACTACTCACGTTCCACCTTCTAGAAAGTTACACACATTATCGTCTCTTTTAGATACCAGATGGAATGTTTCTCGGATTATATGTTGCTGTAAATCTTCTGGCTGAGGGGAAAAAAAAGTACAAAGTTAGAACTTAAAATATGTTAATTACTGTATTGGTAAGACTTACCGTATTTTAGACACTTTCGAACACCAGCAATTCTTTAAAAAAAAACTCGTTTGACATTATATGAGTTTTTGTTAAATTATATTCCTTTTCAAAACAAACTTCTGCCAAAACATGCAATGCTTATACAGTCCACTCTCATTATCTCAAAGTCAACCAGACCAGAAAAATATTTCGAGATACCTGTAGTTCGACTCAAACGAAAACCGGAATCCACAGATTTCCATTGCAGTGTATGACAACTTATGCTAGTGTTTCACTAAATCCTCTATAGTGGCATCAATCATTTCTTGTGGAAAAACAGGGTTGTCCATTCCATCTGTTTTGTTACCTAAAACACAAAAAACAAAAATCTGAATTACAAATAAATTTTAGGTTTCGATCTTTATTTTCAGATGATTATTAGATTTTTTTTGCACAAAGCAACACAATCTCCACTAAATCCGACTTTTTCTCGTGACTTTTATATTGATTATGAATATTTAAAAAAAAATAGTTTAATAATTTATCTTTTATTTTTCTTTAAAAATGGAATTTTCTTGTATCATGATTATGACGATCAAATCGTTTGTTCATAGAGTTATCATTGCAGTATAAATGAATAGGTGTTTTCATAATGTTATATAACCCAATGTACAAATGTATGTAATAATGGCTACCCCAGAAAGGATAGCAACACCGAGGAAATTAACTATTATTAAAGATCGATGACATATACTTTTCTTTATGAATACACCCATTTATTGATATGTTTATTAATTAACCAGTTAAATGTAATTAAAATGAAGTTTCCTTATTTCAAACTTTATTCAAAACAATATGTAGTGTCAATTATGGAAAAAAATATAGCATTATGTCAGTCCATCACTGGAAAAAAAAATGTCTTCGATACAAAAGCAATCCGTTATGGCACAGTTTCTCCATAATGGCCCTGGCATAATGCCCTATGTATCCACAATGTACTTAGTTCACAAATGATAAGCATTTAGGCAATAATTTAAATAGCTGGTTAATTGTGAACTTTTATATTTAAATCATATTCAAGAAAAACTTGTTCAGAGGGACGATAAAACAGAACCTGGAATATCATTTTAGGGCCACGTGTGATTTGGAAAATGTTATTTAATTTAATTATGTTTTTACTTGTTTTACGAATCTTAGGGTAGTGCGGTACGATTGACGTGCCTCCTGAAAAAAGCGACTGGTCCCATTAAAGGCAATTTAAGGAGAGTCTTGTTGTAGTGGTTAGCGCATCGGACTACAAACACAAAGGTTCCTGGTTCGATCCCCGTTCCGGGGAGAAATTTTCAGGGACTGAATTCACGGCTCTCCCTTGACACCATTTGCGAGTATGGTCTTGAGAAACGATGATAGTCCGTCGGAAGGGGACGATAAATGGCTGACCCGTGTTAAGAGAGAGAGCAATATTGCTTGCACGTAAAAGACACCCTTGTAGATTTCGAAAAAGAGCAGGCTAATGCCGCTACAAGGCAGCACTCGCACCAGCAAAGTGGAAAGGGATTAATATAAGCTGTAATAACTTGTTTCCCAATCCACTATAAATAAATATGTTTAAACTAAGGTACGATCATTCGTTTTTCTAGGGTGGAAGGTTTTTTTAAGGGTTATTTTCTTTTCACTTTTTGATAAGGCGGTTTATTCATTTTTCGCGACTTCGCCTCGTATTCATTTATTTTCAGCCTCTTTTACAACTTAATCTGGCGTTTTAATATAGTTTGGGGACAGATTATTCATTTTCAATCCAATAATTAGCCCAGTTTATATCTATTTTAGGTAATTGGTAGTCCAGATTATTCATTTTCAAAATCATCTTGACCCCCTAGAATATCAAATGGTCGTCCCCTTTGAACAGATAAATTATAAATGGGGAAATGATATACAGTTTACTAGATTGTTTCTTCTTTTTTTATACTTCTGTGGTAGATGTAGGTGACCCAGCCGACTTAACATTTCACTTTATAAACTAACAATAAGGTACTCACATTAATTGAAATAAAAAACCGTACATCTGTTATCAATACCATTCGAAATGACAACCTCTTCTGCTGCTTGAGTAAGAAGGCGGAAACCGTTTTTGTTTTGCAGCTTAATCGTATTATTTATGCCGACATCATATTTATCGCAATTAATTTATCACAATTTATGGTACTTTAATTTATATAAGGGAAAAAAATAATAGAAACGTTGTGAAACAATGCGTTATCTCGCATAGAATTAATTTGCCATACAATAAGTCGAAATATGCGAGAATGTGTGTTCTTGCCTAAAATTAAGTTGACATGACATAACTCGTTTTATTTAAGTCGACATATTATTTATCTCAATTAATTTATCACACTTCTATTCAAATATGCGAGCAAAACAAAGAGAAAAAATGCGAAATAATGTGTTATTTCGCTTAAAATATATTGAATAGTCCTTAAAAAATTAACGAACACGAGGCCAATATACTCTTCCGTACAAAAAAAAAGAAACGTAAAATAAGATTTATATATCTATGCGCTAAACTTTCAAACCCATATCAAACATACTAATACATATTTGTTGATGAGTAAGAATATTTTTTTCCAATCTACCTCATGACAGTTTGTAACAGTAGAATACACATTAAAAGTTTTACAACTTAGACATTCAACTTTAATATATCTTTTTTGTTTTATGTGATGATATATCGAAATCAAACTTAAATTTACAAATTACAATTCATATTTTTCTAAAAAAATCAGTGACATGTTATCTAAAGGCATTACAATACTTAAATCCAAATTGCATTAAGCGACGATCAAAATACTTAAGAATTGAATGCTTCTTTTTGTAAATTTATTGGGTGTAAAAGCGTTGACCGAAGTACATTTTGTATGAAGCGCGGAAGCGCTTCATTCTAAAAACGTGCGCACGGTCAACGCTTTTACAACCCTATAAAATTACTAAAAGAAGCATTCAATACTTATAATTACATTTTTTTACTAGGATCATGAAAACACGATTTCTATCAAGTTTTTCTTTTATTTACATGTGCACGTTATATTAATGTGGAAACTCGTGTCATCATGAATGTTACATGAAATGAAGGTTAATTTCAGAATGACGCGCGAGATAGCTGTTAGCCAATCAAAATAACGTATTATAATGAAACATACATGTAATGTAATAATAAAACAATGAAGAATTTCCATGACCTTTGTGTCTGTAGCGGTCTTTTGTTTTTTTGATAAATTTCAAAGGTACTTTCAGATGTCCATTTTTATTAAACAGCTACACTGGTAAAGATCGATTTGATAAAGAGTTTTAAAAATATCATGCATATTCATGATCTACAGGGGAAAAAACAATTCATAAGAAATCTAAAGTGGTTCCACCGGAACGAAGGACGGAACTGTCAATTGAAAAAGATTTGATGGATAGGGGTAGATATTTTAACTTGCAACAGGCCGCGTACGGACCCCTAAACTAGTTGTTTCAAGGCATGGCACTCGGTTCAGGGATCCATAGTTAAAATTTTCGGTCAACCAACGGGACATATAGGACAGATTGATATGGGACTGATTCTTATTCTATAACAAATGTATCTAGTGAATAGTATTAGAAAGATTATATTTGGAAATAGTTGCAAAGAATTACTTAGTTTACCATTGGCATACTATTATAATTGGGAATAAAACCTATAAACTAAAAAGTTTAGATTGATTAAAATTGCAAGATATTTATCGTAGCTTTTGCTTACTTTAATCTGCAAACTGCATGCACATTTTTATTTGAGTAATTTATAATCTTTTACAAATTTTAATTAAAAATAAAAAAAAAGTCAGACAATTGAAGAATGTGCTGACTGTTTCTATCTAGACATGTGATATCGCAATGATATCAATTTCTCCGAGGCGATCTCAACCTTTCTACTAGTAATGCATACATATATTTTTTTTGTAAAAATGTTTTGTTGTTTTTGTTGTGTTTTTTCGGCTTAGTGTAATAACGTGCCAAAAATTATAAACATTAAAAGTAACTTAAAAATCGAAGATGAAGCTTAGTTTTGATATGGTGATTTACTTGTTCTTTATTTGTGTTCTTGTTTTGGATACTTTTTTTTTTATTTACATCGAGTTTTCATGTATAAACGGTTTTAACAAGATAATTCAAATACAAGTTTCGAAACTACATTCACGTTTTCTGAGACTATCATAGTCGATTGTGTCCGTTATAAAACTTTTGAAAAACAATACAATTATATTATGCGAACGGTGGGAAACAGGTGCGATTATAACGTCAACGTCGTCAAAGATTATATATATAATATATTGTGACGTCGAAATATTGTTAGTTACGTTTCTAACATGTACCGTCTCGGCAATTTTGAATTTTGGTCTTGGCACTGAAAGGGTAAATCAAAATATTCTGGACAGCTTCGAAGGATTCAATATGAATGCAAGCCCTTAGAAACGACCGTTATTGCTACTTTATGAAGACAACAACGGGACTGATATTAAAGCCCGCCATTCTGAAGTTGCGTTATTTTCGCGGAAAAATGAAATTGGCGGGAATATGGGAATTTTATGTTTTCTGTTGGAGTCAGAAATTGATATCTTTTTATGTCTTGAGCATGTGTCTTGTTACAACAGAAAATATAACCCAAAGTGGCCGTCCTAAAACAAATACGTTGAAAATTATGGGTATTTGTCTGTTAGTTTTTTCTTCTGTTTTCACAGATAATTAACATTTATTTTATATGAATTCTACAGAAGAAAAAAAAATGATACGTATCTGAAAGTTAAAAAATATTTGAAGTCTAACTGGTTGTCACCCCTAATGAAACCCCATTTGAACTAAATTCCGAAGGAAAGACATTTTTTTACATTGTAGTATTTTTTGTGTCTTAATTACACATCGATGTCAACATGCA